TATATATAAGAGTATTTACATACATATCACTCCATTCTTCTGTCAGTAATTACCTACACTTAGCCTCAATTTTGCATACATGCTGCTTTGCCTATGCATGAAAATGTATATTTCATTTTTTTTAAAATTAAAATAGAGATATTTTTTATGCCATAAGAAAGGTTTGGGTGGTATAATTGTAAAAATTAAAAGTTATGTTAAAAATACATGGGATAATTGGTGGTATGTACGCAAACGCCCCTTTATAATATTAGCTATCATCAATCTTCCACGTCAACATTAATTGGAGGAATCATGCACGATTGCATGTTCTTAATTGAATATATTATTTCCACTGTTCACGATCAAACCCTATCAATCCATCAAATTTAAGAACTCGTATGGTTGTATTTATTAGCCATTATAATTTTTGTGGCAATAAATTTAGTTGTTACATATTTTTTTTTCATAAAATAATTTAAATTAAATTTTATATTTCTTTTCGGATCAATTTTTATAAAATTAAGGGTGCGTTTGGTAAAAATTTACATATTTAGCCTACTTCTTTACTATAACTTTTTATTTAATAATTTTTTGAATTTTTTTTTCAAATAAAAAGCTTTTCACAATACTCATCCCAAACAAACTCTTGTCCTCGGTCCGACCTTGTCATATTAAAAAGAGCATTGGTAAATGAGAGTATTAAAATAAATATATAAATAAATAAAAAATATATATGTTAAGGGGACAGTTGGAATGACATCAATTGAGAATAAGAGATAACAAAAAATAGATTTTAATATTTGGACATATACAATAATTTAATAATAAAAATTATCATCACTCAACAAACAAATAAAATTAATTTCAGTGAATTAAAACAAATGAGATAAATATAAAATAATATTATCAGTAATTGCTTACAAAAAAATTGGCATAAAAATATATTATCCACAACATTCAATAATTTAAAATAAGAAAAAATAAAAAATCCATAGAATCAACACCAAATATTTTTAAAAATAAAATTTAATAATTATGATTATAAAACAAGCTATATATAGAAACACATGCTATTCCCTTTAAGAAGCAAACCATATGTAGCATTTAATTAATGTTATTTATGTATTAAATAAAAAAGAAAATAGGAAGCCCCACAATCGTGGAAGGGAGGGATGGGAATCATGTAACGTCCATATGATTGGTGGAGACATGAGGGTATGGACGTTTTAATATACCAAAATGTCTCTTTGAAGGCCGCCCAAATAATATTTTGCAAATAAATTTTGATATAAAAATAAATGGGAACAATGATACATCTTTCATAATATATAAATTAAAAAATCACATTAAATATGTGTTTATTTGATTGGGTCAATTATAAGAGCTTTCTCTTTCTTTTAATTCTTCACACTTCATATTAAGCTTGATTTTTTTTTAAAGACTGACATCCTTAATAACTCACATATTATACTCCTATTGTTCATGGACATAAGAACTCTTTCTCTCTCTCTCTCTCTAAGATGTTATGAAAATTACATATATATATATATATATATATATATGTGCATTATACTTTAAAGGGATAAGTCATAATGCACATTTCGGGGCTTTATGGTAGAGCAGCTTCTCTGAAGGTCGTAAGTCTCCTCAAATCATGGGTTCAAATTCCCTCATGTGTAGCTTTGATACTTGAATATTTAGCACACTTAGGGATGAGCGAGACTCGTCTAATAGCTTCCGCCCATTCCTTTTAGTGTGTGTGTGTGTGTGATAATGGATAATGTTAAAATAAATATAATAATTTAAGTTTTATAAAAGACAATACAAAAATTGAAAGAGCCAAGGGACCAATCTACTAACAATCCAAACCAAAAAGATTCCACAAAATTAGGGCTGAAGACTCAGACAGAAACAAAAGAACAAATTGAAAGGCAACCTAAAATAAGCTTAAATGGAATCATAAAAAAATGGCTATTAATAATTCCAGGAAAGAAGGGTGATAATCGTCAAATAGTTTTAAAAATAAATTTATAAATATTGTGCTTAAATCATATTTCCATGATATTTATTAGGCCATATATCTTAATCAAAATAAACAACATGAAAGTATAATTATCATTGATTATAAATAATATTATAATGATTCAAGCACGCTCACTTCATAGATAAGTTATTGTTTGAAGAATAACTTCTTATCCAAGTAAATTAGCAATTTTAATTATTGAGATTTTATATTAATAAATTACCCTCCAAACTTGATCCAAATATCAATCAAACCTTCACTTAACTCACACGTTTTTTTTTTAAAATAAGAGAATAATTAATTGCATTCAAAATAGTTGAAGAAGAAGATGGAAAGCAATTTTGTTAGCGATATATATAGAAAGAAAATTTAATTAATTGATAATGTTTATTATATTTATTGAATTTTATTTATTTATTAAGATGGTCTTTGTATATTAATTCCTAGGAGTAAATGGGAAATTAGTCCTCTCCTATTTAAATGAGATTATTTTAGTCACATAATTTATATACTCCACATATTCTTTAAATTGGAGCTGAAACGGTCCCTATGGGAGACTATTAGAGCTCAATTTTAAAATAGTTGGGGAATATTTTGACACTTTCAATACCTAGCATGTTACGGAAAACAATTTATTTAGAATTTGCATGCTAAAATAATGAAATATTACATTGAATATATTTTATTGCTCATGAAAAAATTGAAATCAATAGAAATACATAATGTGCATGTATAGTTAATTGATAAAATTTTAACTTCTATTTACAAATCTATCACCTAAAATTTAAATTTACATTTTTACCTTTTTAACTTATAAAAGTGAAAATACACCTTTTTTCATGCATATGTAAGGTGGATGCATATATGTTAAAATTAAAATTTGTGTGTTATAAAGACACGTAAATACATATAATTAGGTGGTATGTTTGTGGTATGTTTGAAAAAAAAAAAAATGATTATATTTGCTATATAAATTCTATGACTTCTAACTCGAGGCCGATCAAACACATGAAAAATTAGAAGTCAAATTATATGTAGATATAAATGACAAAAACTATAATTATAGTTGATTATTCTAAATACCATTGTATATTACTTATATATGATAGCAATGAATCAAATTCAGCCCCATTTGGCATATAATACTATTGTCTAATCAACAATTTCTTATCTAAATAACTAATATTGTTAATTATTTAGGGAGCATATAATTAAAAGGCCTCCAAACTTGATCCAACCATCAACCAAACTCCATGCACTTAACCGACACGTTTGTTTTGATAAAAGAATACAAATTGCAGTTACAATTTGAGGAATAAGTTGACAAAAAGGGTGATTATATAATTAATGAATTGAACAATAATTTTAATTTTTTCATTAAATATATGCATATAAATATATCATAATCTTAAGAACAAAATGGTATGCTGAATTCCGAAGACATAATAAGGTACACTGATT